AGAATACCAGGTGCCTGGACCGTGCATTTTGTGGGGGGGGGGGGGATTTCTTTCTCCTTCAGTCTGAATTAAAGGCAATAAAAGTTTTCCACATCAGCTGATGATCATTATTAGGTTGTCTTGGCTGGATTTCAACTAGAACTTCTATGGTGTGCTTCCTTGGTTTTTTAGTTGCACAGCCACTGATATTCTAGAAAAATATTCAACTAGGTATAATGTTGTTTTGGTAACATTTAAGTCAACATTTCTAGTTCATTCTTGCAGTTTGTTTAGGCTTTTACTACCTGTTCGGAGTTTTAAAAAATGAATGACGTACTGTTATTTAGATGGAAATATGAGGAAGTGAAAAGAAAGCAACAACTACACACAAAGGTAGTTTCTCCATCAAGCCAGACAAAAATCAGCATCTGGCCAAAAAAAAAAAGCCCATTGCCTCTAACTGTTTCGCAGCAGTGTCCATGTTTTCTTCATGGGAACAGAAACTCATATGCCATTATTCTGCTGATAAACACACTGAAAACAGGTAAAGTACTTGAATTTTGATCCCTTAACTAAGAGACTGAAACAGATTCAAACAGAACAGATTATTTCCTGCTGCCTTCCTTAATTTTTCAGATCTTCACTTATCGTTGAATGGAACACTCTCTTCACAGACAGAGGAAGCTGAAGGAAATGCTGGGGACCAGTGGCAAACCTATCCCACAACACATTAGTAGCATTTTTCTGAATATTACTATTACTGAAACTATAACAAGCACCTCCTACCCCAAAAGTAAAGCTTCAATTCAAACAGAAGAATGTGTTTAACATTTAACTACTCACATTACCCAGAAAATAATAAAAAATGGCTCAAATGATAGTTTTCTTTATGGTAATTTGATGGAAAGCCAGCATATTGGTTAAATTATAAAAAGCATTAACAAATGTACAGAAGTTAAAACAAAAAAGATCCTTGCTTCTGCACATTGTCACCAGTGATCCTCACTAATAGGAAGTAGCAAGCAATGAAAAAGAAACTTGCTCTCCTCTTTTATCCCGCTTTTTAAAATTTTTTTTTATACAGGCTGTATGCTCCAACAATCACAGAGGCCATAAGTGCACTGTCCTAGTTTTCCAGCAAGTCACATGGTAGAGGAATTCCAATGTGCTATATGTTCTCTGTGGAGAGGAGAATGAAAAAAGGTTGGGGAATAAGTGACTTCAGTAATTTAGATAACACATCTTGAAGAGCCATTTTTCTTGGTTTCATAATTCTTTCAGTCACAAATACGATCCCTTGGAAGAAGGAACTCAAGAAATATGCAAAGTTTCCTTTCTAGAATTGCAAATATGACATTCTGTTTCAAGAATGTAAGCAACAGAATTTGCTGAGAAATCACTCCTCAGAGGATGTGCTGAATTTGAGAAGTATTTAGATTCAGGGAGTTATACTGATAGAGACCAACAAGCCCCGTAAGTTACACTGAAAATTTCCGTTATTATTTTGTTTCCTAACCAGAACAATGGAATAAGGATATATTTAAAAATCACTGACATCAATTGAACAGATATTAATAACTATTAGGTGCAAGGCCCTTGGAAGCAAAAAGGGGGTCTGAATATTGTTCTCTTGTGCTCTTTGAAACCATTTGTCTAGAGGCCTGAATTCTGGATTCATTTGAATCATTGTTCTTAAATCAAAAGTTGAGAGCACACAACAGTTTTAGGCAGTTGAGTTTAAATAACTGTAGAAAACTACTTTTCCATTATAACAGTTGAGAATCACTGTGCTACATGTACAACTAAGGTGCTGTGGCACCCTAGGATGCCTTGAAATCCTTTCAAGAGTGTGGTACAGTGCCACACAATGTGAGTAATGTTAGTTGTGCAAACATGATTCACAAAATAAACCTAGAGGCTGTGTCCACACAAGCATGGATGTTTGGTTCCTCAGGGACAAGCAGCAGCAGTGCAAAGTGCCGCCACTACTTGTCCCCAGGTGCCTGGCAAGTCACTATGGGTGGATAGAGGAGGCTAGGACCAGCACTGTGCTGGCCCCATCAGCCTTACCTAGGGTTCTGGGGGCCTCCTGGGGCTGCAGCAGTGGAGAATTCTGCAGCATGGAGCCTGGCCGGCAGCCACAACATGGCTCTGGGTGGCCCGTCTCCGCTTTTGAGCGGCACACACTGCCCATGCGTGCGCTGCTCTGCTTTTTTTTTTTCTGTGGATTTTTTGACCCCTGAATATCCAGGAGTCAGAAAACCTGTGGGGAAAAAATGGTGGAGCAGTGCACACATTGGCAGTGCTCCCTTGCAGCATGGACAACATCTGAACGTGTGGTATGTGGTGCCACAGACGTGTTTGCAGTGCCACATACTGCACAGCTGCACTTGTCTGGATGCAGCCAGAGATTTGAAATAGGAGGGAATCCATAGTGTTAAAAGCATTCTGACTTACTGTGTTCTGAATTATTTGCAATAATTATTTGCAATAATTATTCAAATGAATAATTAGTTCATTATTTTTCCATTCTCAAAAAAATAGCGAAAAACTAAGTGCTGGCATTTTCTAAAGGGTGCCTCAAGTCTAAAAAGGTAGAGAACTACTACTGGGGTTGAACTGACAATAAGGAAGTAAACATGACTGCAGAAAGGGAGCTGTAGTGTGCAAAAGCAAGGAAATCTTTTTTCAGGGCTTCCCCATCCTGTACTATTCAACACCAGCTGCTTTTCTTTGACATTGCACAGCAAGCTCACCTTTATCCTTGAAGGGTGAGCCTGCTGTGCAATCAGCATATATGGCCCTCCAAGGCTTGCGTGGCCTAAAAGGCAGCATGCATTTTCAGTTCGATAGAGCCTTCTGAGACTATTTTCAGGACTCATCAGTCACAGTAAGTATAGGTCCACATTTTTTAAAACAGAGAAAAAGCAGAATGCAAGGAATCCTCCATTAATTAAAGATGCAACTGACCATGGATATTAGATTTTGGAAAGTAATTCTGATGCCTGAAATACCACTTACTAGGCTAACAATTTATCATGACTGACTTCTAAAAATGTGTAAAACTACAAATAATAATAATAAAAAATACTTTCAAGTTAATGATGAAAACTGCATTATATAAGAGGCAAAAGCATGTAAACATAACAACATACAAACTATCTTAAAAACTTTTACAGGAATCTCTTACCTTAACTCTATAAGAGATTTCTCTGTAGTTTCCATTTGTCTTTGCTTCAAGTCCCATAATCCATTTAATTCGCAAATTCTATTTTGGAAATTTTCAATATTATGAATTGTTTCATCAAGCTGAGTGGAAACATCTGAATATTTTCCCTAGAAATTATAAACACAATACTGTGTAAGAGAGGCTGGGCTAGATTTCCAGATACTGTTTTTTAAGTGCACAGTTATGGGCAATGATGCACGAAATTGCATGCCCAAAGAAAAAACTGCTTTCAGAAGGGCAGTTTGAAACATTTAGTGCAAGTGGAATAATTATACTTCTGTAAGGCTTCACTTTTGCTGCACATCTAAGTTCCAGTTCCCCAACCTGTTGCACAAATCTCACCAGAAGATTTACACAAGGTTTGTGAAAGTGCTTATATTCTTGTAATTACATATCAAATAATATCTTCTTCCTTATAAACATATGTATCCCCTTTTGATTTGCAGCCTCACATACACAAAGAACAACAGCTATTTCATTAAGTAAACAATAGTTTGCATAAGCAAGAACATCATTAGATGAGGTAAAAGATAAATGCCAATTCTGTACCCACTCAATTCAATTTAGAATTCATTTATTAGCATAATTTCACTCAATAATGTAGTTAGGAATTTTTAAATTTGTAAAATTTTCATGCTGTTTAATAGAAAATATTTTTCTAATTTTATGCATTAGCAAGTTGAGTTGCAATATATTAAAAGTATTTTTATTTTTCAAATTTGTCTGCTTAAATTAGGCACCAAACTGCATGTTTAAGCAAGTACTTGAGCAACAAGATTTCAGGAGTACTGACTACATTTAACTGTCATCAGCTTCAGTGGGAGCTGGGAGTGCTCAGTAGGGCCGTGCGAAGCTTTGGTCACTGATTCGATTTGGCGGAGATTTGCCTTGATTCGGAGGCTAAATCTCTGAATCCAAATTGAACCAGGAGACCCTTTAATATCTCTGAATCAAATTGGAACCCTCCAAATCAATTCACAGAGATTCGATGATCCAGACATAAACACAACTATAAATGTTTTTTCTACATATAGGCAGTCCTTGACTTATGACGGTTCGAGATCTGACAATCCACAGTTACGACATTTGTAAACTGACACCTGGGTTTCGAAGTTCCAACACAGTTTCAACTTTACGACACTGAATGCAGGATGCAGGTCTGTCAGTGGAAGGGGAGGGTGTCACGGGGGCGATCAGCTGAAAGAGTCCCAAACCACACACAGGGGACCCCTAACGTGGAGACTACGCAAGAAAGAAGAAAAAACAACACAATAAAAATGCTTACTTGCAGCAGGACCCACGGCACAGCCGGAGCGAATGAGGGATCCCGCGCGGGTTGTAAGCTGTGCCTTTATTCAGCTGAAGCTGGCCAGTGACATTATCGGCAATCACCAGCCGGCAGAAATAAAAAGGACCACTGGTGAAGGCTGGGGAAGGAGAGAGTGAGTCAGTGGAGACTCTCAGCACTGAGGACGGCAGACAGGCACTGAAGGAGAGAGAGCCAGCAGAGGCTCTCTGTAACAATGATGACTGGCGTGTGTGGGAGAAGGGACAGCCAGCAGAGGCTCGCTGCACCGGCGAAGGATGGCGTGCCCAGGGAGCAAGAGAGCCAGAGGAGGCTCTCTACACCAATGGAGAGTGGTGTGAGCACCCAAAGAGGAAGCCCAGCAGGGCTGCAGCAGGCTGCAACAATAACAACGGCTGATTAGACCCAAAAGGACTGCAGGACGCTGGAAGCGGAACGCCTCGGACGACATCAGGGAAGAACGATTCCGCAAACCACATTCGGCGGCATGAGGGGAGTGACAGCCCAAGAAGAGGTGTGGCCATCCTTGGCCAAACAACAGGTCATTTCCCCTAGAAGTCCCAGGTACTGGGAATGGGGTTCCGTCTAGTAGGGACGAGGACGCAGATATTTATAGTGAGAGTGACGAGGAGGTACCTCTGTGCCCTAGCAGAAGGGCTAGGGTAGGAAATGAGACAGACCCTCCCAAATTCGTGATTTTGGTTTCATTCCTTTTTCTTTACCACCTTTTGGAGGGGTTGTGTGATGGGAGCAACAATGCCAGGGGACTAGTCTCCTAGCTACAAAGGAAGTCCCTGTTTGACGGAACAGTACGCAGAGTAAAGGAGCTGACAAAGGGGTTCCCTTCTGCCCTTTCTTTTTTTCCTTGGGTCATTGGTTAATTTTCAGGTTCCAGGCAGCTTAGGTCAAGGGGAAGACCAGTACAGGCCGGATAACGGATCAACTGAGCCACCCCAGGAAAAAAATGCTTGGGATACAACAGGCTCTAGAGGACATCAGGGCTAAGAACACAACAGCATCGGGGAAGTGGCCGATAGAATCCCGTGACCCGCCTAAGGTTGGCATGAGGCTGGGGTGTAGGGGAGGTGGAGCCCCACGGACAGCCACCTGACGATGACCCACCGCAGAGGAACCCCTGGTAGTTTGCCCCCCACCACTGAAATTACATTCAAAGTTGTGGCAGGCAAGTCTGGGGGTGGCCAACTAGGTGATAAGCATCTGCCTCTCAGTTTACAAGAAACCTAGGGACATCCAGTGCCGAGCATCCGGGCCAAGGCTGCACGCAACCAGCTTTTCGAGGCCAGGTGGTCACAGAGGGATAAGGAAAAAGCTGTGGGGGGGGGCAGATCAAGGCCCCTGTGGTAGGGTGAGGGCTGGAACAGGCGGTGGGGCAAATGCTGCCCAGATGGAGCTGTACCGGGCTCTGGGAACAGGGACTATGCGTGGCAGGAGAAGACGCAGCTTGTCCGGCTGCTCTCTCGAAGCAGGCAGTGCCAGGGCTGTGCCGGGCAGCCGCAGGAGAAGCCACGGCTCATCTGCCTGCTCCCGCAGCTGCCCCTACCGGGCCAAGGCAGGCAGCTCGGGGGCTGAGCCAGGCGGCCACAGGAGAAGCCACAGCCTGTTCAGTGGCTCCTGCCGTTGTCCAGGAGGGCATGGGGTGGGGTGGGGGAGGGACCTGTGACCCCCAGATCTGGTCTGGTCGGGGAGGGTTCAGGCTGCGTTCAGGCCAGATCCAAGGGCACATCCCCCCCCCCCACTTCCAGACACATGACCAAAGCAGCATTGTGCCGCTCATCTGGGAGACATTTGCTAGCCAGCTCCTCTGGCGCTCAGTCGCTGCTGCTAGAACTACAGCTCTATGGTACAGTACTGTACCTGAACTGAAAAAAGAATAAGTCCCAGCACCGTACAGTATAGTACTTTACAACAAGTTCACTGTGCTGCCCATGCACTGTTCTGTTTCCATACTTTTTCCAAACTACGCATAATAATGGCAAAAAAGCATAAATCCGGTGGAAGTGATGTTTCTTCTTCTAAGAAACATATAACAATTACTATAGAAACAAAAATGAAAATAATTAAGAGGTCTGAAGAAGATGAGACCCCCAACTGAAATGGGTAGAGCTTTGGATATCCCCCGAACGACTATCGTGACCATCCTGAAAGACAAAGCAAGAATTCAGGAGCATGTTAAGGACTTAGCTCCTATGCAGTTAACTGTGATAACTAAGCAATATGTTAGACTTATTATTTGGGTTGAGAAACTGCTAATCATTTGACTGGAGGAGCAAAATAAATGACGTGTTCCTGTGAGTTTAGGCATCATTCAGGAAAAGACTAGACCATAAAGACTCCTAAAGAAACAACAGGGGGAGAGTTCTAATGCTGAGTCTTTTACTGCAAGTAAGGGGTGCTTTATGTATTTTAAAGCCAGGGCCAATTTGCATAACATCAAGGTCTCGGGTAAAGCTGCCAGTGCTGAGGACAAGGCAGCTCATGCTTTTCCTGAGACATTGGCTGAAATCATTGCACTTGGCAGCGAACCAGGAAGTGGACTAGAAGCACTTCTGGTAGCACTTCTGATCCACTTCCATTTCTGCCATGGAGCATGCGTGGGACCCCCTGCCTTGGCAATTGGTGCCTCCTGGGTCTGGGGGAGGTACCCAGGGTCCCCCCACAGCCAATCACCAAGCCAGAGGGGTCGCGGGGAGGGGGGGGGAGGCAGGTCTCCATGCGCTTGGCAGTGGACCCGGAAGTGGACCAGTAGTATTTCTGGTTCACTTCTGGGTCCGCAACCGTGCACATACCCCCTTCCCCCCCGTGCCCCTGTGGGATTTTCCATCTGCCCCACCATCACAGCATTCAAAAATATTTAAAGCTGTGTCTATGGCTGGATCACTGATTCTCTGAATCAGCATTGAAACTTCAGATTCGGCCAAATTGAATCAGGACCGTGAGCCGAATCAACTAATTGAATCACTGTCCCCCTATTCGGGCCAAATCTGAATACAATATGGCTATTTCGCACACCCCTAGTGCTCAGTATTTCTGGAACTCAGTGTTTATTTCATTACCTAAATAAAGATTTAAATATTTTTGGACATACAAGGTTGAAAATTGCTCTTAAGTTTCTTCTCCTGTATTATAACCAGCAGGAAAACTTCAAGTAAGCAAACAGGAATCCTGACATCCTGTCTGTTTTTCCAATGAACAGACATGCTGCCTCTCAAATAGAAACTGATACCACATTGTTTAAAAACTTAATATGAGCAACTGTTTTCACTAAATACCCTGTAACTCATCACAGATATGAAGGAGGTCTCTGCTGCATCCAAACAAAAAAGCAAGGATGTTTATGGTTACACACAGACTAATGAAGAATTTTATCTTCAAGTAAAATTTGAAGTCTCTTTCTAATTATACAGGTAAGTGACAATCAGGTAGATGAAGAAAAATTATCGAATGAAGAAAAATATATACATTATAAGCTTAAGAAAAATACATAAGCAAATACTGCTGCTAATATTCATAGTTCACAGAGTAACCAAGATTGCAACTGCCCCAAAATGAACAAATCAAAACATGACACATCAGAGCTATAGAAAGCAATAAGCAGGTGGGAGTCTGGACTACCGAGAGTTCTTTTTACATAAACCCATTTTACATGTACAAAACATTACAGAGAGTAATTCTAGTAATACACACTAATGGGCTCTAAATAGCAATATAAATGAGCTGAATTAAGGAGGAGGAAACATACTTCTTGATTACTTTTTTATATATATGTGAATACTGAATTAC